AAAAAAAAAAACAAAATTTGTATCCTTGTATCTGCTTTTTCTCAAATTTTGTATGATGACATGTCTAATTAGTATTTGAAATTGAAAAACTCTAATTTAAAAATCTTATGCTCAATTCATTAATTAGAATTCATTAAGAGTTTAATTCACATATATACACATGTGTAGACATGTTTGAGCACACACATGCAAATGAAAAAGAAACAAAGACTACCATTAATTAATTATTTCACATAGGGTTTCTTCTTTCGCCATATAATTACCGCAAAGATTAAATTGTGTGGAAAATGATGAATCGTCAAGGTACTCCATCATGATGCGGCCGGAACCTTGATGAAAGCTTAAGACTGTGTTCAACAACATTCACTGAATATGTTGGACGGTGGTCGTCAAAGCCGCAAGAATCCACCCATCATCAGTGGCGAGCAACTGGAGAATGAAGCCTACACGCTGTTCATTGCTGACCACTGCTACAACCCCGGGATGCACATGGAAGCGCTGACGCATATGATGAGATCAAAAAATTAAGGTGAGAACACAAGCAGCTCTTTGGGGAAGTGGTGAAGAAGATCTTCGCTTTATTATTGCTTCTGCCCTAATTTTGTGTATGTACATAAAATTCAGGTTAAATAAAATGCATATATATATATATATATATAAAACAAGTTGAGTTTAGGTTTACCTCTGCCCAAAACCAGGTTTTTAGCTCCTAATTTATCTCAGTTGTGACGTTTGCCGACGCATTAATTACATTAGAATATTTTATAAATTCATATGTAAAATATGTAGCAAAAAGAAAAAGGAAAAAAAAAAAATAGTTGCATGAATAAGAAGAGATCTGGAGAGAGAGAGAACTAGGTGTGCAAAGAAAAGGAAAAGGAAAGGTTAATTTCCAGAAAAGAAACGAGGGATTTCATAGCATGTTTTGTGAATTAACTAGAGAAATATATACATACATGGGGGAGAAGAAGAAGTTGCAGGGCATCTTGTCACAGGAGGAATAGACCGGCAAGCAGCTTAGCGTTTGCCATGGAGAGGCAGCAAAAATCATTGAAAGAGAGTTATGCAGCCGGTGCTATTCCTTCTGCGACAAGGTACCCCCAATTCTTCTTTTCTTGGATATAGCTTAATAAGCCTCTTGCTTTCTCTTATTCATATGATTTTGCACTCTTCATATGCATATATTTATAGGCCCTAACCGAATTTGATCTCCAGAAAAAATTAGGTTTTCCTACAAACGCATGGAAATTTCCTTTGGAGGGTATACTTGTAAATTGCCGGCAGGTTGGGAGCAAGATGAAGAAGTCTAGAGAGGGACAGAGAAAGTGCAGTGTTATACGTAGAAGTACTGTACAATAATTTGTACAATATTAACTATTCAAATTAATTAGATAAGTCTTAATTTGTAGTATAATGTTTTTAAGTATATTAAGGGCCTGTTTGGGAATATATATTTTGCTATAGAAAAAAGTATTTTAAAAACAATTTTTAAAGAAAGAAGAAAATATTTAGGACAATGATTAATATACATTTTGCCTTAATACACAACACAATATATTTATTAAAAAACTATTATTTTTTAATTTAAAATTAAAGGTAAACAAATTTAAAATGCAGTCATGCTCACGCATATAGAGCTTTTTTTTTTAACAGCAAAAGTTCCATTACTATTCTAAGTACAAGGGGTACTCAAACCCTTTTACATTAACATCAACCGAACTCATCAAAGAACAGGAATAAGCACAATTAGTGTTACTACCATCTTTCTAACCCCTCCTACTTCACTCTAGTAAGGCATGAGGCAGGGTTAATTAGCCAGTCAGATAGATTGAAATAACACTTGCCTTTCCTAACTTTAATCCATGTAAATGACCTTAATTGAATAAGTTCAAAAAGTTTGATCAAGTTTACCTCGACGCTGTCGAAGATCTTTTTGTTTCTTGCCATCCACACTGACCATATGACTGCGTTCCAAATACAGTCCCACCCTTCTTTTTTGTGTGACTTTTTGGTCCAGGCGCCAAAGAGTTGAAACGTCCTCCTGCATTCATTTTGTAATTCAACTTTGATGCCCCACCAGTTTGTGCAAGCTCTCCACAGCCATTTGGCTATTTTGCATTTCAAGAATAGGTGGCTGGAATCTTCCTCTTCCTCTTCACACAGAACACATTTCCTTTCCTCCCCCTCGTTTATGACCCCACGTTTAAACAACTCACGCATATAGAGTGTAAAAATTAAATGAATCGAATGTATTTATATTATATTTTAATAATTAAATCGAGATAAATATCAAAAAAATATGTTGAATTAAGCGTGTATCAATTATTTTCCAAATATTAAGATTATAATTTGTTTGTTTTGGTTTGAGGGGGAGGAGGATAAATTTCTTTATTTGAATAACAATTTTTTAACTTATTTTTTTGTATTTTAGTTTAAACAAATAAGGAGAAGGAAAGAGAGAAAAATGGAAGGATATTATTTTCCTTCTATTTCTCTTCTATGAACCAAGTAAGAGGCAAAAGAATTAAATTATTAATGATTATTTTGGAACTTTTATTAATGTTTTTAACATAAAAGATATATTATTGATACTGTAGAATGTCTTTTTGAAAAAGTTATCTATAAAAATTTACTAAACACAAAAGCTAGCACTTTAAAGTTCTTTCACCTTTCTTACAATTGGAATAAAGATCTCATATACCAAGTAATTAAAGTCTTTGGTTTTCTTCTTCTTTTTCTTCTTCTTTCTTTCTTTCTTTCTTCTTCTTCTTCTCTCTCTCTCTCTCTCTTTTTGTTTTTGTTTTTTTTTGTTTTTTTTTGTTTTTTTGTTTTTTTTGTGTGGGTGGCAGTATAGTGTTGAGTATTTTTGCCTAGCATGTAGTTCGATATCCAAACAATGGTGGATTTTCTTATAAAACTTAATAAAATATTAGACAAAACCTAATTTTCGTGGGAGTAGAATTTACAATTAAAGTTGTGACCTAAGGCCTCATTGGTAAATGATTCACTAATAAAAAATATAAAAAATGAAGGTTGAAAAATAAGATTAGGGCTTTTTTTTTTTTTAAGGAGAAAAATAAGATATTTCATTTAAAGGTTTTTTTAACATATATCTTTAGAGCATAATTTAAGAATGTATTTGTTGAATCATTTTACCATTAATTTATATAAAAAATTACAAAAGTAAACTTTATTTAATTTCAACATCAATGTCACGTGAAATAATTTAATTCGATGATTGATAAAACTTAAATCAATTTTTATTTTTTATACAAATTAATAATAAACATGTACAATAATTACAACCTTAAGGCACAAATTAAAAAATTTCCTTATTTAATTTAATACAAGAAATATTCAAAATCTATAAAAAAAAAATAGAGTTATTATCCAAACATTATTTTTAAAAAGGCACAAATTAAATTTTTTTTATTTAATAGAGTATAATGAATACTCATAATCTATATACAAAATAAAGTTGTTATTCATGCATCAGAACCACGTATACTGGGATTGCTGTTCTATGAACTTGGAAAATAAGATTAGTTATTAGTAAATGTGTGCAAATTATTGACTACATGTCTCTCTTTTAGCGCATGAAGGACATGAAAGAAACTTGCAAATACCTTTGTTTTGCATTGAAATTTCCTCTTTCACCGGTCAAAAAGGGGACATATTATAATATAATGCATAATTGTCTCTGGGACCAAAGCATGCCTAGCTGTTTTTGGGTGCTGGTCACTTTCTCAAAGACAGCTAGCTGCATTGGCTGGTTTTTCTAATTTAAGAAATAGATTAAAAATGTAATAAATATGTTTTTTATGATAAAATTATATTAAAAAATTTAATATTTAATTAAATTTATACATGTGATAATAATATTAAAATTAAAATTAAAATTTATAATTTTTATATAAATTTATGACAAAAAAATAACCTTAATTAGAACAAAAATTCAAAAAAACTCTTTTTTAAATTATTGCAAAACTTGCCCTTTAATTTCCTATATGTATATAACTTCTCTTTTAAATTTAATTTTTTTAAAAGAAATATGTTGTTTTATATCATTTAGAGTGTTTATATGAGTTGTTTTCTTCAAAACTTGTTTAGTAACAATCTTAAATACTATAAAGTAATGTTTTTGATACGATGACTAATACAATTAATTCTAAGTTGTCAAAGTGGTCTAGATCAAAGGTTGGTTACTTACTTCATCAGCCAGTTTACTCCCGTAGGACATTGGAAATCTAAATTTCTAAGTTGGAGTATTAGATAAGAGGATATTATAGGGGAAACCTTCTTTTTAAATTTTTTTTTGAAATAGATGTCTAAAAGTTTAATTTTTTTAATTAATATTTTTAAAAATTGACCATTGAATTGGAAATTTTATTTATGTAGATCATATATGTCAATTTTTATATTATTTTAACATTTATAATTATTTGATTAAAGAAACTTTATTTACTTATAAATATTTAATGGTATTAAATGTCTTATAATTAATGAAATTGTTAAGTCTATTAGAGCAATTTAAAAATTAGTATGTATGATTTATATGAATAAATTTTCAATCTAACAGTTAGTTTTTAAAAATATTAATTAGAAAATAAATTTTTAAATATGTCCTCTAAAAAAATTTAAAAACATGACCTATAAAACAATTTTTTTCATTAAATAATACTGTTATATTGTCCTTAATTATTTGATGGAGGGTAGTATAAGTTTTGTAATAAGAACAATTTGTCAAAAATGCAGGCATCAATGAAATTACTCTTTGTCCACAATGAAACTGGAAAGAAATTTCGAAATTGAAAAAGAGGCAAACATTCCAATTTAAAGTCAAAGTAATTTAAAAAAATAATGCAAATTAAGTGCTTTCATTTCTTGGAATATTTTTGACCTTTAGAAAAATTAAGTACGCTTCCTTTAAACTTACTGTTTAACAAGAAATGATGTTGGAAAATAAGTCCCATAATGTGTCAAATACCAAAACCTGCTTTCTCGGATTCAGACGTAGCATAATTTGTTTTCACATATGGAATAAGTTTGAATGATTAAAGACACCATTTTTTGTTTTTTTTTGGCAAATGAGGGCGTCATTGATTTTATGCTATTCTCTAACATATTATATGTTCTCTTTCAAACAAGAAAATACGAGGAAAGAAGAATAATGTAGTACTAATAAAATAATAATAAAAAGAATAAAGTTAAAGGGTGGAAAGACCTCTATTTTTTTTTCCTTTTTTTGTTTTTTAGTAAGGGTGAAAAGAGACCTTTTAATACTAATCTGGAATATTCAGTTTAACAACTTATCTTCAAGTATGTTCAATTAAGTCGTCAGTAATTCGATCCAATTTACTTCAAAAATCACAAAATTTATCAAAATTAAATCCAAACTTGCTTCTACGTGGAAGGTATGAATTTAATGACATATATATAAAGACTAAAATGAAGGTCATTTAGCTGGTATCAATTTGAATCATTATTTGAGCATGTTTGGGAAAGTTTATTTTATGTTTAGCTTTTTAGCTATTTTCTTGTTGATTTTGGTAAAATCCTATGTTAAGTTCTCAAACTTACCTCAGATTCTCGATTAAGCCCTTCAACTTTTATTTAAGCAAATAAACCCCTAAACTTAATAATCAAGGCAATTTAACCCTTTTTCCCTTTTTTTATGGTAGATTTAATATTCATTTGTGCTTGATATAGGTAAGATATTGACATAGCATTACCTATGTGGTGGGTATTGACCTTATTCATGTAAGTAAGGCATAAATAGCGTTAAATCCATCATAAGACAAAAAGATTAAATTGCTAAATTCAAAGGTTTTTTTGCTTTAATAAAAATTGAGAGCTTAATTGATAATCTAAAATAAGTTTGGGGGATTTAACATAGGGTTTTGTCTTTGATTTTCATAGAACTTGCTGGATAAAATTTACAAATTATTTATCAAATGAAATGGATAAATATTTTTCAAATCTGTTTCTCAATTCTTATGAGTGAGTTGAGTAAAATTGCATAACATTGTACTACCTCTTGCCCATTTTACTTATCACATTTTCTAAAAGGAGATGATTCCATTCAATTTATTTGTCAATTTTAATTTGCAAAATAGCATTGAAGTCTTTTTTTTTTTTTTTTCAATTTGCTCCTATTTATAATTACTTCATTTTTAAAAGAGAACAAAACCCAACTTCCCACCTACCCTCTCATTAATAAAGGTAAATATGAAATTTTAATTGGTAGTACGTGTCTTTATAAATCTTTGTAACTTCCTCTATAATCATGTCAAGAAAAAATGTGACAAGTAAAATAGAGTAGAGTTAGTACTATTTTTCTTTTAATGAATGTACAATAGTTAATGACATAATTGCTGACGATCGCCAACTGGTAGTTAATTTGGCAATTCCACAAAGTTTGGTGGCCTTTTTTCAATGTTAACCCCTTTTTATGGGGGCTTGTTGAGATTTTTCGTATCTATGGAGATCAAAGTAAAGCCTACAACTGTAACAACACTGGACTCTTTAGACAAGAGACCCTTTGAATAATGGTTTGGGCTACACGGCGTTTTAATCTGTTACATTGAGCCGTAAATTAATTTGAGGCCCAAATTATTTGGGCCAAGTTTTAGATTTGTTTAGTGAAGTAGATTTCCAGCCCAAAATGGATTCACTTCTAGACCAAAATAAAAACAATAGGCCCAACCTAAAAACAGAAAAATAAATTACTTTTACAAAAGAGGACAAAATCATGGTTGTCCACTCCTACATATTCTAAATTTCTAATCCAGAATCCATGTCATAGAATCCAATTCATTCCTCTGCTTTCCCTCGTCTACCCGAATTCTCCTCCATTTCTGCAATCTCTTCTTTCTTGTCTTTCATCTGAAGCCCAATTCTCTCCATTTATGTTTTTTGGTTTCTTTGTCCTTCGAACTCGATTCTTTCACTTTCCCTTCTTCCACAGCTTTCAATCTCTCCTCCTTGACCAATTCAAGCCCCTTAATCAGACTTTCCAAGTAAATTTCAGCATCCCTTCTTACTGTTTTCGGCATCAAATGCTCAGTCACATCCGCCGGAGTCATCCTGGCATCTTGCAACAGCGTAGAAATCCTGGAAAACAAATGGTGTGACTCAAGTTTCAGATAGTTCTTAGCTAGCACCTTGAATGCTTCATTTCCACAGTATGACAGCTCTATATGTTTAACCAAACTTCCTTTTCGAATCAAAGCTGGATCGAGTTTTTTGACATGATTGATGTGAAAACAATGATTCTTTCTCCCCCACAAGCTGACCATAGACCGTCAATGAAGTTCAGTAGCCCTGAAAGAGTAACCTGATTCGTTCTATTCTCTCTTTCATCTTTGGGAGGTCTCTGCTTCGGTCCTTGGTTTCTTCTTGTACTTCTTCTTTCTCTGTTTTCTTCCTCCTTTGTAGGGTGAGATCAAGGGAACAATCAATATCCTCGATCACAATAACAGATTTGCTAGATTGAAAGAATTATATGCCCAACAAAGCCATCATTAGTATTTATTTATTTACTTGTATATTTTTCTTTTGGGTGATTTAATAAATGTTATTATTCTTAGATCATATATTAATTAAATTGATTATGGAGATGATCAAATAAAAGGTTTGATGATCTTAAAATTGTTCACAACTATAAGCATACTTTGAATAATATGCTTAACATGGTTGTCACATGTTGTACTACCATAAGTGATAGAGTGGTAAATTTCAACCACTAGAGTTAGACTCTTAGTAACATAGTGAGTATTTGTATAAGACAAATATTGAACTGGACCATATAGAATAATCTTAAGTTATTTACTGTCAAATAAAAGATTATTCTATCCACAATTCATAAAAGGTTCTTAGACCTGAAGATGTTATTTAATCTTATGTATAAGTTATTTAGTTTTGATATTGTCAACCGGTGATGCCCAATAAATGGGATATATACGGACATATTGGACTGGATAATAAGTACATGAAGATTTATAGTCATCTAATAAGGAACAACCACTCTTATCGTAAGAAAGAATATTCAAGTTTGTGTCTCTTTTATATTAGATAAAAATCCGGCCGGTCAGTTTAAATAAATATTTTTAACTTAGTTTTAGAAAATTAAATTTTATCAAAATTTTATTTTTTCTAAATTGTTTTATTGTCTAAATATATTTAAGAGACACACATACAAAGGTTAGATGACAGTTTTATAATGAATTCTAATTCGATTAGACTTTGTATGGAATTTTAGTTGGTGGAGGACTATTATGTAAATATTGTGGTTTGAGGGATCTCACAAATTTATCTGTAATTTCTTGGATAAGATTGTAATCTACTGATGGGTTTTTGATTACAATCCTAAATTGATTTAAATTCAATTTGCTAAGAGATTAAGATCCCAAAAAGGAGTCCCACGCAACATGCTATTTGTAATTCTAGTCTAATTATACAAGCTCCCAATATATAAGACCTATTGATTTGTCAATAGAGTATCCAAGTTTTTACAAGAAAAACAGAAGCTAGTGGGAGGAGAAGCCATCACTTCTTTAGGAGACAGAATTGAGGCATCGCGTGTGAACTTTTGGAGGATTTTGCGTGTGTGAAATCTCTGTGAGTTTTCCTAATTTTTACATGAACATATTTGCATCATGGGGACTAATAATTTGTTTATAATTCTTAATTTGATTAAGTGTTTTATAAAACCTTCAGTGGTATCAGAGCCTACCCTTGCATCATATGTTCTGTAATCATCTTTCTATACATTATAGATTGTTTTAATTCTAGCAACAAGTCGAAAAAAAAAAAAAAATTTTTTTCTGCATGTTGTTCTGGTATATATATGTTGAACATTCATATGTGAGAATTATGAAACTCATGCATTGGTAATAATTAAATTTTTGTATTGATTCAACTCTTGGCTTTCACATGATTATCCCATTGATTTGTCCAATTTGATATATTATGATATATGCTGGAATGTGCAATTTAAAATTATGGATTAGATTCGAAATCTCTGGATTAACATTGATGGGCCTATATGAAAAAACTGAATTAGAGGACAGAACTCCGACACGGACATAGTGTCGACACATAATTTTGGTGTCGACACCATATGGTAAACATGCAGGAAAACTCCGACACGGACGTAGTGTCGACACATTATTTAGGGGTCGACACCATTTCACTCATATTAATCTATATGATAGATTTTAATTAGTTTTATTATAAGAAGATTATTTTCCCTCATAATAATATCAAGTGTTAGAGATAGGAAAACTTCTGAAGATATTTTCTAAAGGCCTTCCATTATTAATAAATAATGTCAATGATTTTGATGATTAATTGAAGTCAAAAAGGATAAAATTTTTCTTAAATTATCATTGTTATTATTTATTTCATAGAGATGAAAAGATATGTCATAGCTAGTGGGAGTATCAACTAAAATGGGGTATTGTCACAGTAAATATGATATATATGGAATAATGGGTTTACACTTGACTAATAGGGCATATCGACTTGAAACAAGTGGCTGGTATGTTTTTGTTTGAGGCCAAATAAAATAGGAATCTTATAAATAGTATAAGATAGATAAGTTGTATCTGCTTTATTGAAATACTTAATATACTTCAAAAGAGGTTATTAGGTGATTAGATGAAGTTTCTATTTCTCACTAAAAACATTAGATGTAGTTTAATATTTAGGAGATTATTAAACTTAGTGAGATAAACCATTAAATATACAAAATCCCAATTTAATGGTTCGTGCATGTAAATAAATTATGGTATTTGATTACTAATTGTTTTGTTTGCTGTTCTGTAGAAAGATGAACAACTTTAGCCCACTTGCAAAGATTTTGGATGAGAATCGTCTCAAAGGTCCAAATTATAGTGATTGGAAAAGGAATTTGAATATTGTGCTCACTGCTGAAAAGTTGGTTCATGTTTTGAATGAAGAACCACCAATTATGCTTGAACCAGGTGCGGATGATGATGCTCAAGAAGCTTACCAATTATGGTTTGACCATGATTCCTTAGCTAAGTGTTATATATTAGCATCTCTTGAGAATAGGCTTCAGAAGCAACATGAGAAAATGGCTACTGCTAAGGATATAATGGCAAGCTTGAAAGAGATGTTTGGACAACAAAATCGTTCTGCAAGACAATCTGCTATGAAAGGGCTTATGTCCACCAAGATGACTGAAGGAACTCCAGTACATGACCATGTCATGACGATGATAGGTTTTATTAATGAACTGGAATCTCTTGGGTCTGAGATGGACAATGAGACAAAGATAGATGCGATCTTATCTTCACTACCAGATTCATTTAATCAATTCGTTTTGAATTTTAATATGAATAAGATGGTAGTAACCCTTCCTGAGCTTCGTAATATGTTGCAAAGAGCTGAGGAACTAATTAAAAAGGAGAAGCCTGTAATTATGATAGCAGAAAAAGGAAAGTCCTCAAAGCCCAAGTATAAAAATAAGAAAAGGAACTTTGGGAATAACAAAGGTTTTAAACAAATCCCTGGAGGCAATGCTAAGAAGGTGAAGAGGGATAAATCAGAAGATGCTTGTCACTTCTGCGGAAAGAAAGGTCATTGGAAAAGAAATTGTTACCAATACCTAGCTTCACTCAAGAAACCTTCAGAAGGTATGTTAATAAATCTACTCATTGTTGAAACCAATTTGTTGGATGGAATTGAGAATTCTTGGTGTATTGATTCTGGTGCAACCTCTCATATTTGCAATACATTGCATGGTTTTCAGGAAACCAGAAGGTTGAATGAAAGGGAAATCATTTTGCTTTTAGGAACATCAGCAAAAGTTGCAGCAACTTCTATAGGAACTTTTAATTTAGTTTTGCAAGGAGGAACTATTTTATTTTTAAAAGATTGTCTTTATGTGTCACAAGCTAGGAGGAATTTGATTTCTATTTCTAAATTAGATGAACAAGGTTATTCTTTTTTATTTCGCAAACATATTGTTACCATTCGTTTAAATAATAAATTTGTGGCATCAGGTTTTAAGCAAGATGGTCTTTATTTTCTTTCTCCTGCACTTAATTCTATTGCATGCATTGAAAAAGATTTCCATGAAAATATTTTGAGCAAAAGAAAACGTGATGAGGTTGCTCCTACTTATCTATGGCACTTAAGGCTAGGTCATATCAATGTTGAAAGGATTAATAGATTAGTCAAGGATGGTCCTTTAGACTTTTTGAAAATTGAATCCTATCCGACATGTGAACCTTGCTTGCAAGGAAAGATGACTAAGTTGCCTTTTTCTGGAAAAGGTGAAAGAGCTTTAGGAGTCTTAGACTTGATACATTCAGATGTATGTGGACCAATAAACCATGTTGCTAGGGGTGGGTTCTCCTATTTTATCACTTTTACTGATGATTATTCTAGATATGGATATATCTACCTTATGAAACACAAATCAGAATCCTTTGAAAAGTTCAAAGAATTTCGAAATGAAGTGGAAAAACAAAAGGGTAGAAATATTAAATGTCTTCGTTCCGATAGAGGAGGTGAATATCTTTCGGATGAGTTTAAGAACTACTTAAGAGATAATGGAATTTTATCTCAACTTACCCCACCAAGAACACCACAACATAATGGTGTTTCGGAAAGAAGAAATCGCACCTTATTGGATATGGTACGAACAATGATGAGTGCAATGGATTTGCCTACATCCTTTTGGGGATATGCTTTAGAAACTGCAATTTATTTGTTAAATAGAGTTCCAACTAAATCAGCCCCTAAAACTCCTTATGAGATGTGGACTAATAAAAGGCCAAGTGTCAAACACTTGAAGATTTGGGGCTGTCACGCACATGTTAAGAAACAAAGTGCAGACAAGTTGGAATCTAGAACAATTAAATGCAATTTTGTTGGCTACCCAAAGGAAACCATTGGGTATTATTTTTATAATCCAAATGAGCAAAAAGTGATCATTAGTCGGAATGCCTTTTTCTTGGAAAATGAATTTGCAGACAATTGCAACATGAGTAATAAGATTACTCTTGAAGAAATAATGGAGCCTAATGATGAAATTAATTCCCAAAAGGAAATACAAGATAGTATTCCTATTTTGAATGAATCGATGGTTCCAACAAGGAAAAGTAATAGGATTGTTCGACCTCCAGTAAGACTGACTCTTTTGAATGAGAATTATTCTATGATTTCAGAAGAATGTGAGAAAGATCCTACTACTTACAAAGAAGCAATGTTAGACATTGATAAAAATAAATGGATTATTGCCATGCAATCCGAAATGGATTCTATGTATTCTAATGAGGTCTGGACTCTTGTAGACCGTCCTAATGGGATCAAAACAATTGGTTGTAAATGGGTCTTTAAAAGAAAAAGAGGACCAGATGGAAAAGTGGAGACTTATAAGGCAAGACTAGTGGCCAAAGGTTATAATCAAAAGGAAGGTATTGATTATGAAGAAACTTTTTCTCCAGTAGTCATGTTAAAATCAATTAGAATATTATTGGCTATAGCTGCATATTATGATTATGAGATATGGCAGATGGATGTAAAGACAGCCTTCTTAAATGGGCATCTTCAAGAAGATATTTATATGGACCAACCGGATGGATTTATATCCAAAAGGCAGGAACATAAAGTATGTAAACTTAAAAAATCCATTTATGGGCTTAAACAAGCCTCAAGAAGTTGGAACATCAGATTTGATGAGACAATCAAACAGTTTGGTTTCTCACAAAATCTAGATGAAGCATGTGTTTATAAGAAAACACAAGGGAATGCTATTACTTTTCTTGTTCTTTACGTTGATGACATCTTGCTCATTGGGAATGATATAGGGATGTTGTCAACAGTGAAATTATGGCTCTCTAACCATTTTTCTATGAAAGATTTAGGAGATGCCACATATATTTTGGGTCTTAAGCTCTATCGAGATAGAAGCAATAGACTGTTGGGTTTATCCCAATCAGCATATATTAATAAAATTGTGGCCAAGTTTAACATGCAAGATTCCAAGAAAGGATTTGTACCTTTCAGACATGGAATTTTTCTTTCTAAGAAAATGTCACCAAAAAGTGATATTGAGTTAGAAAGAATGAAAAATTGCCCATATGCTTCCGCTGTAGGTAGTTTGATGTATGCAATGTTATGTACTAGGCCAGATATTGCTCAAGCAATAAGTGTGGTGAGCAGATATCAATCTAATCCTGGAGAAGAGCATTGGACAGCAGTTAAGCATATTTTTAAATAACTTAACAGGACTAAGCATTATTGTTTAGTATATGGTGGAGGTCCTTTAAATGTTGAAGGATATACAGATTCTGATTTTCAATCAAATCCTGATGATAGAAAGTCTACATTAGGATATATCTTTGCTTTAAATAATGGTGCTTTTAGTTGGAAAAGTTGTAAACAAGATGCAATAGCAGATTCTACAACAGAAGCAGAATATATTGCAGCTTCGGAAGCAGCAAAAGAGGCAGCTTGGATCAAAAAGTTTGTACAAGAGCTTGGAGTTATTCCTACCATAAAATCTCCAATAACTTTATTTTGTGACAACACTGGAGCTATCGCACAGGCTAAAGAACCTAGAGCTCACCAAAAGACAAAGCACATTGAAAGAAAGTTTCACATTGTGAGAGAAATTGTCAAAAGAGGAGATATTGATTTGACAAAAATTGCCTCTGAAGATAATGTTGCAGACCCATTGACTAAACCATTGACTCAAAAAGTATTTGAGAAACATTTGAGTAAAATGGGTTTGAAGTATGTATCCGAATGGCTTTGAGTGCAAGTGGGAGATTGAAAGAATTATATGCCCAACAAAGCCATCATTAGTATTTATTTATTTACTTG